ATATATGTATATACACACAATGAATGTAATGAAAATGCAATGAAAATATTTTATATTATACCTTTATTTCTGATAATATAAAAAAATGTATTGCTGTTTCCTCTGTCTTGCAAAATTTATGTTAAACTCAACATATTCGACGTGCATCACTGAACCATTTAAACTTTTGTATGACTGTAATAAGATGGAATATATTAGAAAGCATAAATATTATATAAAAAATTAATGCAAAAATTTAACATTTCCCTTGTTAATTAACAAATTATAAATTTTGATTTTATTTAAGAAATATACTTCCACAATTTGTTTTCGACGATATTTGAAAACGAATTGTGGAAGTATATTTCTTAAATAAAATCAAAATTTATAATTTATTAATTAACAAGGGAACCACACGAAGTGATAAATTCTGATTTTAATGAAACTTTGTATACACATACACAATAGATTACATAAAAAAATAAATTTAGAAAATGTCCGTTGCGACGAAAAAACGGTTTGAAAGGGTGAAATCACCCCTCATGTATAAAGCGATTTTCAGTTTTTCCGTTAAATCACGAAAACTATTCGAGATATCAAAAAATGTTTTATATTAAAGCTTCTTAACAAAATTGCCTCTATATTCATTTACGTCAATAATATTTTTAATTACATTAACAGTAACAATTTCTTTTAATTAAAAAAATTGTTTTTTTTTTAAATATTGACGTGGATGAACAGAAGTAATTTTATTGTGAAACTTTTGTATAAAAATTTTGATATCTCGAATAGTTTTTTAGATCATGAATACAACGAAAAAAGCTAAAACTCGCGTTACTTATGTAAGGGTTGATTTCACCCTTTCAAACTGCTTTTTCACTGCAACTAATATTTTTTAAATTCAACTTTTTATATACATACGATGTTATTCCATATGTATGTGCCAAACATTTAATGATCAGGTACGCAAACTTTCGAAGCAGTTGCAATATTAAGGTGCACATTAAACTCATTTGAAGATGGCATAGGCATTACTTTACAACTCTAGCACAATAAAATATCCATTCATGACAATGCACTGCGTGACTTCGTGAAGTAATCATGCCGAACCATAAGTGTGCGGCAGGAAGCGTCGAATTGAAAAAGCAGGACGATTACAGTTTCAATCGAAAACTGCTTTTCCCTAAATTGTAACTGAGTATTATATTAAGTATATATTAGTTATCTATGCGGAAGATGGAAACAAGTTTGCAAAATTAAACGTTTGGTATATTTTCAAACATTTCATTATATAGCTATGTTTGAATATTATAATTCACATGAAAAATATTATGCTCAAAGTATGACTTGCCAAAATATAAATTTAATTGGATATTATTGTATTTAAAATTGTGTTAAAGTCATAAATAATATAAATATTTATTATTAGAGCATATTATATTTTTATAATATACACTAATAATATATTTATATTATTCATAATTTTTAAACAATTTTAAATGTCATCTCCGTTGTTTACAAATAGATGTTGAATTTTTCTTTTCGAAGTACGGACCGTCTGCTGAGAGTTCTGCGAAACGCTCTCTCGCTTTAAATCAAATTAATATATATGTAATATAAATCAATTTAGTGAATTCTTTTTTGTTACTATGTTGAATAATTTGGTCAATCACTTACTTAGATTAAATTTTTTAATCCTTTTCACTATATCAAGTCATTCATCTGACTTAATTTTTATTCGTTTCGACTCGATTATAGTTCATATAACTGAAATTTCGCAACCCTGAGACTTAGGTCGTTCCACCCGTTTCCTCAGAAAATGCTTTCTTCCCCAGAGATTTTTTTATAGTGTAAAATAAAGAAAACTCTTAATGTCACTTCCACGAATCCTTACACTCCTCACGACACGCGATATTTTCTCAGACATCGGATAATAAAAACCTTCGACGAACCATTACATCGACATACATGTCCCTCTCAGGGCACTTTTATGATATTAGATTGTTCATCAAACTCTTCTAAAGATCGGCGCAAGCGCTTCGTCATATTCTGGCACGATGAGTTGTCCATCCGTGACAGTGCACCATATGCTTTCGTGCAGCGATCATGTCAAATTTCAAATGCGCGCCAGAGAGCGACAGATCAAAAAAACATACCGATTACAGTTTACAATTTAATCGATGGTTTCTGAAACCAATCGGTGCGTGGCCACGAACATATGAGTCGAGCCTAGTGTGGAAAATCTTGATATTACTACAAATTTTCATTTGTTCGAGCATAGTAGCGTCCAACATGATACCGTGTTTATTATATGTGTTATTTGAAAAAGACAACATCAAACTAAAACTGAGTGCAATTGGACCATTACTTCATAGAGTTATGGGCTCGGTACATTACTGGGTGCTACTTAAGCGCAGTGGTGATATTAGCAATTTAATACGACACATGGAAACAGATTGGTGTCTTGTACAGGGGTTCGATGATCGTGAAATAATGCTGCAACAAGCTAAGTTCGGTCGTTTCGTGGCTATAATTTGTGGAATAATCATGCATGGAGGAACGATCCTGTTCAGCTTGGCAAAGGCAATGAAAACTGTAACCATCGTTGTCGACAATGAGACTTTTACGACGCATCCGATGACGTGTCCGATTTACAACAAGATTATCGATACGAGATTTAGCCCTGTAAATGAAATTGCGTTGATTCTGCAAAACCTAGCAATGTTAATAGTGAGTTCCTCTACTGTCGGTGCTTGCAGTCTAGCTGCTGTCTTCGCAATACATGCTTGTGGTCAGTTGAATGTGTTGTACGAGTGGCTACATGAATTAGTTAAAAATCAGGAAAAGAGAAACGATAAAGCCAAACGAAATCTGGCTGTTATCGTAGAACATCATCTGAGAATATTGAGGTATTTCATAAGTAGGCATTCATTTAAAAAATGCATATTCTATAGTGTATATAAATTATAATAAATTTCTATACAATCATACAAATTAATAATTAACCATTTATAAATATATATTGCGTTAAAATTAGGATAAAATCATTTTCTTTTTTTTATAGATTACTAAAAGACAATCTGTTGTCAATTGTATTTATAAAAGCATAAGTTCAGTGTGTCGATGACTTATTTATTTAAAAAACTTACTATGTTACGTACATTTACACGTTTCAGTTTTATATCACAAGTGGAAAGTATTATGCATAAAGTTTCTCTTGTGGAATTAACGGGATGTACGATGGTCATGTGCTTGCTTGGATATTATACAATTATGGTACGTTAGAAATGTAAGAAAATCTTATTAAACCCATCAAAATATGATCTATTCACAAGAAAGCAGAACAATAAGTGCTATATACAGCGCGGTAATTTTTGCGCAATTAACTTACAAATCAAACAGTGTTCACATGATATATTAAGAACAAAAATAATTAATACAGACTCAAAATCATATATAATGTCTGTATTAATTATTTTTGTTCTTAATATATCATGTGAACACTATTTGATTTGTAAGTTAATTGCGCAAAAATTACCGCGCTGTATATAGCTCTCATTATCCTTATACTATATTATTGTTTTTTATTAATGTCGAGAGCCCGATTGGCAATATTAAAATTTTTTTGTAACCAATCATTTTTAAAGCTATTGTGTTGAATGTTTGACATACTCATATGTTAATTTAACTTAATATAATTTTGTTATTTGGATGTTTTGGGTTATTTGATATTCAACATTTCTAAATATTAAAGAGACACAATTTACCAGTAGAAAAACATATAACATAAAACTAATGTTTTTAAAGAGTAAATTCTAAGATAAATAAATAAAAAGTACGTTAATTATGTATATTATAAATATTAATTTTACATATATTATAAATATTAATTTTACTCACAAAATATAATACTTTCCTAACGTTCCTATTATGTTTGAATGTTTTACTTGTGTTAATTTCTTATATAATATTTGCATTACTTCTTAACATATATCATCTTGTGTTACAATTACATAAAAGTTCGAATTTATCGTTAGACACGTGAAATGATGAAAAATTATTTAATGAAAATCGGTTAGGGCTCAAAAACAGCTTTATTGACCATTCTCCTTTAACATAAATTTTTTAACTGCGTAGGCATGGGAAACACTTGATACAGCAAAAATAACATCTTACTTTATTGTATATTTATCGATGGGTTTCAATATTTTTATATTTTGCTACATTGGAGGAATTGTTACTGAACAGGTAATACGTCGAGGATTAAAATATACTGAAACAAAAATTCACATTTTAACATTTCTTTAACAAATTAGTTAATATTTTCAGAAAAGAATAAAATGCAGCACTTCCATATTTTAATAAAAAAATTTTTACTAAATTATAATTTTTTAAATAAAATTGTCTCATTTTTAAGAAATAAATATTTCTATTTTCTTTAACATTACATTTTAATCCAAATTATTTTTACTCACATAAAATTTTATATCAAATTAGTGCAAACTTGTCGGAGAAATGGCATATATGACTGATTGGTATAATCTACATCATACAACTGCACGTAGTCTCATTTTGATTATTGCCCGATCAAATAACGTAATTAAGATCACCGCAGGAAAGTTATTCCATTTATCTATCGCAACTTTTGGTGATGTAAGTAATGCACATATATCGTTTCTCCTATTGGTTATTAAAAAATTAATAAATTATATCTTTTTTTTGTACTTTATTAATGACAAAATATTACATTTCATAAAAATTCCATTGCTTAATTAAATTATTCATTATTATGAAACGTTCTCTCTCTCTCTCTCTCTCTCTCTCTCTCTCTCATATGTTTAATTTGAAATTTTAATAAATTCATACCTAAATTAGTAAGAACTGGTAGAGTATGATATACATTATTTTTTCTTTCTACGAAAACAAGTATATTGTTGTTTCAGGTAATTAAAACTTCCATGGCGTATTTAAATTTTTTGCGAACAATGACGTAAAAAATGACTATGTGTGAAATATAAGTTAAAATATATACAAATATTATATATATATATATATTTTATACAGAACAAATTACTTTATTCTAAAAATAAGATTAATCCCTTGTTGCACAAGTTTGAAAATTAAAAATAAATGACCCTAAAAACATTACTACCAAGATTTTTAGGAAACATTTATGATCATATTCCATTCAGCATACAAATTTTGTAAAAAAAATTTCAATTTTAGCTGGGTTTATACTTACAACTAGGGTTGGTAAAAAACATGTTTTAAACGTGTTTTAAACAGTTAAAAACATGTTTAATTGATGTTTTTAATATGTTTTAAATATGTTTTTTTATAGTACTATTTAAAGCATATTTGAAGCATTAAAAACGTATTCAAGAAGAAACACAATATGTTTTATTCTTAAAAAAAAACATTAATCTTTACCAATCCTGATTACAACCTATTGCTAACACAAAATAATTATTTCTTTATGTTACTTATGTACATACTCATTATGTTTTATAAACATAATGATATCGAATACGTTACACAAATAATTATATAACGCGCAAAACAAAAAAATATTATTATATAAAATGATAGACATTCCATAAACTGTATAAGGTATTATGCAACAAAGGTTAATAAAATCAATAAATATATCAAAATCGAAATACTCATTAATATACTTTCAAAGATACATATTACATTATATTTTGTGCCTTGTCTTATACTTGTTATAATAAGTCAAACTAGACTTCCAAACCGTCCTGTTTGACTACAAAATCTGTAATACTAATCCTTCGCAATTCCATAATTAATAAAAGTGCGAAGTTTTTTTACATTCAATTTAGAACCTCGTAGTATCAAACATATGTAAGTGCCAGCTGATTAAAACTTTCGCACGGGTCCAATAAATCCATGAATGTAGTCGATGATTAATAAATAATGTTAATAATTTTATGATTATATATACAATCACATTTCAGTGTATACTTTAAATCAAGATTTTATAAATATAATTAATTATGTCAGAATGGCATTGAGTTCTTGACATTATTCAAAAATTTATGTACAACATATATTTCTCACTTCTATATATGACATAATACATATAATGTAATATTTTTTACATTTCAAGATATATTCTAATTTTTATTGTCATTCAGTTAATTTATCATATTAATTTCAATACAAGAAGAATATGGTTAAAACACATTACCAAAATGGAAAAATCTGCTAAGATAAATCACTTCTAACCTCTCACAAATCTATATTTTACACTCCTTATGCCACGCAATGATCTTTCAGACATCTGACAATAGAAACTGTAGACGAACAATTATATTGATTGAATATACACTCCTCTCAGAGTAACTTTATAATGTTAGACCGATCACCAAACTCTGCTGAAGATTGGCGCAGGCGCTCCATCATATTCCGGTACGATGAATTGTCCATCTGTGCCAGTACACTGTGTGCTTTCATGCAGTGATCATGTCAAATTCTAAATGCGCGTCAGGAAGCGAAATACCGGAAAAACATATCGATTACAGTTTACAATTTAATCAATGGATTCTCAAACCAATCGGAGCCTGGCCACAAATAAATGCATCGAGTTCAGTGTACAAAATTATAATATTACTACAAATTTTCATTTGTTTAAGCATAATAGCAGTCCCAACAATACCGTGTTTATTATATGTGTTATTTGAGGCAGAGAATATCCAGCAAAAACTGAATCCCATGATGCCACTGATCAACAGATTTATGAGCTCGATGCATTACTGGGTGTTACTCAAGCGTAGAGATGATATTCAAAAATTAATACGACATATGGAGACAGACTGGAGCCTCATGCAAAAAATCGATGAACGTAAAGTGATGCTACAACATGCCAAGTACGGCCGCTTCATTACCATAATCTGTGGGATAATGCTGCAGGGTGGTTGCCTATTGTTCAGCTTCGTGCAATCTATAAGAACTGTAACCATCACCATCGGCAATGAAACATTTACAACACATACAATATCGTGTCCAATTTACAGCAAAATCATCGATACGAGATTTACCCCTATGAATGAAATTGCATTAATTCTGCAAAACATGATAGTAATACTAGTAAGTTTCTGTACTGCCGGTGGTTGCAGTCTGGCTGCTGTCTTCGCGATACATGCTTGTGGTCAGTTGAACGTGCTATACGTGTGGCTACATGAACTAGTTCAAAATCAGGCGAAGGAAAATGATAAAGCTGAACGAAAACTGGCTGCTATCGTAGAACATCATCTGAGAATTTTGAGGTATTTCACAAGTAGGCATTTCTTTAAAAAATCCGTATCCTTTTACGCCTTATAATACATTTCTAAATAATTATATAAATTAATAACTAATCATTAAAAATGAATATTTTCGTTAAAATTTATTTTCTTTTTCTAATAGATTATTAAAACGAAATTTGTTGTTAATTAAAACATTGACATTATTCATGAAAAATATAAGTTCAATATACCGATGACTATTTATAAAAAAATGTTCCTATGTTATGTACATTTATAAATGTTTCAGTTTTATATCACAAGTGGAAAGTATTACGCATAAAGCCGCTTTTGTGCAATTAACGGGGTGCACGGTAATCATGTCCTTGCTTGGATATTACACTGTTACGGTACGATATAGATGTGAGAAAATGCAATTTTTTTATTTTATACAAGTAGATGTCACTTATTTATGGAAAGTCAAACATCGTTACTCTATTATAAAAAACGACGAATTATATAATAAAGATAAGCTTATATTTTAAATTTTACGAAATAAAAAAACATTTTGTATTCGTGTTAAAGTCGGTTGTTGACAAGGTATTGTGTTGAGTTTTTAACATAATATCATTATATTATTGAAACGTTTTGTATTAAATTGATGGACAACAATTATTAGTATTAAAGAAACACAATTCATGAACAGGTTCTAGGTAACATATAAATAACACAAAAATAATATAGTTTGAAAATATAAATTCGAAGTTTGATAAATAAAATAAAGGTGTTAATTTTAATTACAAATATTAATTTTGCTCAAGAAGTATACTTCAACAATTTTAAACTGTATCAGTGTTCTATTTCTTTTGTTAATTTTTAACGTAATATTTGCATTGCTTTCTCAACATATTCCATTATGTGTTACATTCACATAAAAATTTGAGTGGATCATTAGCCATGTTAAATACGTTGAATTCAATGCAAATTCTTTAACTGCATAGGGTTGGGAAACACTTGATACAGGAAAAATAACATCTTCCCTTACAGTGTATTTATCGATGAGTTTCAACATTTTCATATTTTGCTACATTGGGGAGATTGTTACAGAACAGGTAAGAAATGTTGAGAATTAAAATATATAAGAATTAAGGAAAATATTAAATTTTTATATTTTTTAATTCGATTAATATTTAAAGAAAGTGTGAAATATAATGTTATTGTATTAATCGAAAAAAATGTTAAAATATAATTGTCATTTTTAACAATTTTAAGTATTTCTGTTTTTTTCCAATATCATGTAATTTAAAAAATTATTAAGTTACTTTTATTACTCATAGAAAATTTTAATCTCATCAACTTATTAGTGCAAATATGTAGGAGAAACGGCATATATGACTGATTGGTATAATCTACATCACAAAACTGCACGTGATCTTGTTTTGATTATTGCCCGGTCAAATAACGCAATTAAAATTACCGCAGGAAAGTTAATCCATTTATCTGTTCCAACTTTTGGTGATGTAAGTAATGCAGATTTTTCACCGAGATTCGTCTTATTAATAAAAAGTTAATAAATTTCATTTCCCTTATACGTTATTAATTGCAAATTAGAGTCATCTTATAAGAATTGAATAATTGATTTCAAACTGTTCAATTGAATTACTCATTATCTTTCAAAAAAACTTATTTGATACATTCAATTATATATGTGTGATTAAAAATTACAAATTTTAATATACTTAGGAAGGTAGCTGAATGCGTACCATTCAAGTTATTTCTTATTATTTATTTAATACTGATTTGTACGTAAATAAATATTGTAAATTGTAGCATGATGTTTTAAATACTTATTATAATATGTTTAACTTTTCATCAATCATAATTATTATGTGTATCTTTTTATAACATATTGCAAAAGATATAATTTTGACAAATGATCATCTAACTCAATAATCTATGTATGTTTCTCAAATCATATTTTCTTTGAAAGTATCAAATATAAAATATGAATAAAAATAATTAAAAATATTAGATTAATAAAAAAATTATTAAGTAATAATTAACTAATAGGTATTTGATTTTAATAATTTATAAACACAAAGATACAACTAAACAATAATTATTAATAATTATTAAATAACAATAATGAAAATGCAAAGCTATCGAAGTACAAATGACTCGAGTTTATTTTTGCAATCATTACATTCATATAAATTATTAATTTTATTATTGTTAATTATCAGTTTTACTGTGTGGTAATATGATTTAGCAAACTTAATAAATTTTTTTAAATACTGATTTCATCATTATAATTACAAATCTGTACATACAATGAATGTAAAATATTTTACATTATACCTTTTTTATAACAATATAAAAATTCTATTGCTGTTGTCCAGCCTACCCAATTGGAAAATTTCTTGAATTTAAATTGAAAAAATTGGTTGAATTTAACATATTTCACATACATCAATGAGCCATCCAATCCTTTGTGTAAAAAGATGAAATATGATGAAAGCACAAATATTATGTGAAAAATTAACACAAAAAATTTAACACTTGGACAGTATCTAAAAACAAATAATGAAAGTATATTTCTTAAATAAAATCAATATTTATAATTTGTTAAATTAACACACTAATTTTATTTTAAAACATTACTTTTACGTTATTTTTACTTATTGACACTTGTTTTTTCAATACAAAAAAGTGTTAAATATTAATTTAACATACAACACAATAAAATTGGATGATAAGTATTATTATCAACTGCATAAATTAATCAAAAATTAACATCATTTGTACTTAATTTTTTATTAAATGTTATTGGTACCGACAAAATAAGATGTAACTTGTTAGTTTTTTGTCTATATTACCTATTTCTTTTTTTCATATTTTTGTTACTAAATGTTGCTTATATTAAATAATAATATAAAATATTAAAATACGGAGGATTTAGATCGTTACGCATTCGGCAACTATCTCCTAATATTCTTAACTGTTTTGTTAATTGAAAAATTAGAAAATTACATTCTTTTACTGTACTAATTATGATCATCTTACAAGAATTGGACTCTTTAATTGGCTTTATTACGTTTATCCATTATGCTTAAAATATCCATAAATTTAATCCACATGTATGAATTTTCAAAATTTAATATATCTTATAATATATACAGCTTATTAAATGATGATATTGTTTTTGCATTATATAGAAACAAGCATGTTGTTGTTTCAGGTAATTAAAACTTCTATGGTATATTTAAATCTCTTAAGAACAATGACTCTGTGAAACATGGTAAAGACTGTTAAAATATATGTTAAGAAATATGCAAGATATGCACTATATAGAATAAATTAATATATCTTGAAAATAAGATTTATTAAATAAAATCGGTGATTATGTCAAAATCGCAAGTGATTATGTTATTAAATTGTTTTTAAAGATGTATACTAAGTAATTTTTACATATTTCATGGTTATTATAATTTTTGTATTATAAAAAATACTAATTTTTATATTCATTGAAATTATACATATATTTATCCTTTTTAACAGTATAAGAAGCACATCTAATATATAATCAAATAAAAAACATAGCAGATATTAAAGCGCGTTCATTTCTACAAATTTATATTCGTATAGTCCTCGTGACATGCGATATAATTCCAAATGTATGTACTAAACATTTATTGATCAGACACGCAACCATTCGAAACAGTTGCATTATTACTCGTCAAACTCTTTCGAAGGTTGGCAAAGGCGTTACTTCACAACTTTTGCACAATCAACTGGCCCATTCGTGACAGTGCTTTGCGTGACTTTAATGATCATACCGAACCATAAGTGTGTGGCAGGAAGCGTTGAATTGAAAAACAGGACGACTACAGTTTGCAATCGACCACCTTGTCTTTTCTTAAATTATTGTAACTGAGTATGTATAATATTAATCAAAACTAGAAGATGGAAACATATTGGTAAAATTAAACATTTGATATATTATAAAACATTTCAGTATATAAATATATTTCAGTATTATAATATACACACACACACATGAAAAGTATTATGCATAAAGTTTGACTTGCTAAGTAAAGTTTTGGATATTATTGTATTTAAAATTATCTAAAAAAGTCATGCATACTATAAATATATTAGTATTATAATATTCATAATTATAAGTAATAGAATGATCATGTTATTATATTAAAGAAGTAATTATATCCATTCACTATATTTTCTATATTTCAAAATATTCTAATTCTTATCGCCACTTAATTTGTCCTGTTAATCAGTAAGTAAATTCGATTAAAATATATTACTAAATTTAAAAAATTTACTAAAATAGAGAACTATTATACCAGTATTCACAGTCAGACCTTATATTTAAGGATTTCTTAAATTTATCTTCAGGTGCTAATAAAATAATTTGTAGAATGCCTGAAGATAAATTTAAGGAAGTCTTAAATACAAGACTTCACTATGAATACAAGCATTAATGTCACTTTCACAATTTTACACTCTTCATAACACGCGATATTCTCTCAAACATCGGATAATAAAAACTCTCGATGAACAATTACATCGACTGAATATATGCCCCTCTCAGGACACTTTTATGATATTAGATCGTTCACTAAACTCTGATGAAGATTGGCGCAGGCGCTTCTTCATATTCCGTTACGATGTATTGTCCATCCATGCCAGTATACCGTGTGCTTTCGTGCAGTGACCATGTCAACTTCCAAATGTGCATCAGAATACAACAGATCGAAAAAATATAACAATTACAGTTTACAATTTAGTCGATGGTTTCTCAAGCCAATTGGTGCGTGGCCACAAATAAATGCATCTAGTTTAGTGTGCAAAATCGTTATACTACTACACATTTTTATTTGTTCAAGCATGATAGCATCCAATATGGTACCATGTTTGTTATATGTATTATTTGAAAAAGTCAATATTAAGCTAAAACTGAGTGCCGTTGGGCCATTGCTTCACAGAGTTATGGGCTCGGTACATTACTGGGTGCTACTTAAGCGCAGTGGTGATATTCATAAAGTAATGCGACACATGGAGACAGATTGGCGTTTGATACAGAGACTTGATAATCGTGAAGTAATGCTACAACAAGCTAAGTTCGGTCGCTTTGTCGCCATAATTTGTGGTATAATCATGTATGGTGGTACAATCCTGTTCAGCATAGCAAAGGCAATGAAAACCATAACCATTAACGTCGGCAATGAAACTTTTACAACACGTCCGATGACGTGTCCGGTTTATAGTAAGATCATCGACACGAGATTTAGCCCTATGAATGAAATTGCGTTGGTTCTACAAAATCTTGCAATATTAGTAGTGAGTTCCTCTACTGTCGGTGCTTGCAGTCTGGCTGCCGTTTTCGCAATACATGCTTGTGGTCAATTGAAAGTACTGAATGTGTGGCTACATGAACTTGTTCAAAATCAAAAGAAGGGAAATGATACAGCTGAACGAAAGCTAGCTGCTATCGTCGAACATCATCTGAGAATATTGAGGTATTTCATATGCAGACACTTGTACAAAAAATACATATTTTCTAAAGCTATATGGTTATATGGTATAAGATGTTTTTAAGTATTATTAAAATTAATTATTTAAAAATGAATATTCAAAATTAAGACAAGTAAATTTCTTCTTTTTTATGGATTATTAAAAGAGTCTGTTGTTAATTGTGTTCATGAAAAGTATAAGTTGAATGTACCGATGATTTATTTATTTATAAATAAAGTTGTACTGTTTTATATACATTTATACATTTCAGTTTTATATCACAAGTGGAAAGTATTATGCATAAAGCCGCTCTTGTGGAATTAGCCGGGTGCACCGTAGTCATGTGTTTGCTTGGATATTACACTATTACGGTACGCTAGAGATGTAAGAAAATGAAAATTTTGGATACAAGTAAATATCATTTAATCACGGAAAATCAAACATGGTTATTCTATTATAAAATAAATGAGTATAAAAAATTACATGTTAAAATCTCTATAGCTGAATTTTTTCATAGTATAAAACATCTTGTGTTTTAAAACACGAAAATCATTTTGTGTATTAAAATCAGACATAGTTGAAGTTTTTGTCTTGAATTTTTAACTTACTCAAGTATCAGTTCAACATAATAGGATTCTTTTTGAATATTTTGTGTTGAATTGATATTCGACAATTGTTAGTATGAAAGAAATAATTTATATAAGTGAAGAAATAAAAATAATGCAATAAGTAAAAATAACGCAGTTTTAAAACGTAAATTTCTAAGATAAATAACTGAGTGTGTCAATTTAATAAATTATGAATATCAATTATTCTCAAGAAATATATTTCTACAATTTTTTTAAAATTTTATCAAAGCGTTTCATTTTTGTATTAATTTTTTACATAATATTTGCATTATATTCTAATATACTCTATGCTACACCCATACAAAAATTTGAGTAGGTAATTAAACACCAGAAATATATTAAATTAAATACAAATTTTTCAATTGTATAGGCTTGGGAAACACTTGATACGACAAAAATAACATCTTCCCTTATTGTGTATTTATCGATGGGTTTCAATATATTTATATTTTGCTACATCGGAGGAATTATCACTGAACAGGTATTATGTCGAGAATTCAAAAACACTCAAAACAAGAAAAATATTAGACTAATATTTTTTAATAAGTCAGTACATATTTCGAGAAAAGAGTATAATATCATACTTTTACATCAATAAAAAGTAATATAAAATATTATGTCTCATTTTTAATAAATTTAAATATTTGTCTTCTTTGTATCAATCTATAAATTATCTCATTCTGTCCACATTACTCACATTACACAAATTTAAATCTTATGTCAATTCAATAGTGTAAAGATGTCGGAGAAATGGCATATATGACTGATTGGTACAATCTACATCATAAAACTGCACGTGGTCTCATTCTGATTATTGCCCGATCGAATAACGTAATTAAAATCACAGCAGGAAAGTTATTTCATTTATCCATTGCAACCTTTGGTGATGTAAGTAATGCAAATATACCGTTCCTTCTTTTGGTTAATAAATTATACATTTCCCTTGTACTTTATTAATTTTAAATTATGATCATTTTATAATGGGTGCATTCAGTACTATAACCGCTCACTGAACGCTCAGTGAACTCTCGTATCTGTTTGGTCTATATTTTTAGATCTAACGGTAGGAATATACCAATTAGATGCAAGAGCTCACTGAGCGCTTAGTGAGCGGTTGTAGTACTAAATGCACCCACTAATTGCACTTTCAAAATTAAAATATCCATTATCCTTAAAACATCTATATATTCAATTACGTGAATGTGTTTGATTTAAGATGTCAAATTTTAAAAAATCTAGAAATGTGTCTAATCTATAGAATTTGATATATAATATATACATTTTCTTTGCTTTCTACATTGAGAAAAATGTTTGGTTGAATTAATTGGAATTCTAAAATGGAAGATGAAACGATCCCGAAATCTACTAGATATCTAATTAAACCTATTAGAATTTTAATTGAGATAATTAACATTCAGAGTTTTCTTCGTTACATCAACTTGCATTCTAGTAGATTTAACCGGAAGTTTAGTAGACTTAACCAGAATTCTAGATCGTGCGTCCATTTTCCACCAGAACTCCAATTAATTCAACCAAATATTTTTCTCCGTATACAGAAACAAGTATACTGTTGTTTCAGGTAATTAAAACTTCGATGGTATATTTAAATTTTTTGCGAACAATGACTATGTAAAATATGATTATGTGAAATATAAGTTAAGAAATATACAAATTATATATTTTATATAGAACAGATCAGTATATCCTGGAAAAAAATATTTAACCATTTGTTTCTCTGAAATTAAAAATCACTGACCTAAGAAACATCAATATAGATTTTTAGGCATCGCTTATTACTCTTTAAGCAAAAATTTCTTGTTAAATATTTTGGTTCGGCTTGTATTCTTATAATATGTGTTAAAATAAAATGATATTTATGTCGCTCATGTTCTTAAGGGGAAACATAACGATATCAAATATGCATGTATCCTATGTTTTATATATAATTATATAAATACAAACAATTATAAGAGATTATATGTAAAACATAGAAAAATTCCAAAGAGAAATATAGGTGTTATATTTGTCTTATATAATATATTATATAGGACATTATGCACGTAAAGACAACTTAATAAATAAGATTAATGATTACGTAAAAATCAATATTATAAACCACACATTAACATACTTTCAAAGATATAATTATTAATAATTTAAAATTTTTCTCATGATTGTTATAGTAACACACAAACAAGATTTCTAAACCATCCTGTACAAAGTATCTACAGAATTTATGTACCGAAACTCCGCGATTCAGCGATCAATAAAGTTAAAAATTTTACAATTTAGAACCTCGTCGGATCAACCATGAATATATGAGTGTCAACCAACTAAAATTTTTGTTCTAGTCCAAAAGATTGACAACCATAAAAGGATTAACAAATAATATTAATAATTTTATGAATACATTTACAGTTTAATGTACTTTTAATGAAAGTTTAACAAATAAAATTAATTATAACGTTAGAATTGTATAGGATTACTGGCCATAAAATAATTTAAAAATTAATGCAATATATTTTTCTGATTTTACATATATGTATATATTAAGAACATTTTCTTTACTTCAAAATATTCTAACTTTTATTGCCATTTAATTATGCATTGAAAATTGATATAGGAAAATATATATAATTATAACATATCAAATCAGGAAAATCTGTTAAGTTCAAGCACCTTTTTAGTGTTGCTTTTATGAATATATACCTTACACTCCTCATGACATGCGATATTCTCTCAGACATCTGACAATAAAAACTATAGATGAACAATTATATCGATTGAATATACGTACCTGCCAGAGTAACTTTGTAACGTAGGACCGATGACCAAACTTTTCTGAAGATTGGCGCAGGCGCTTCTTCATACTCTGGCACAATGAGTTATCTATCCGTGGCAGTACACCGTGTGCTTTCGCGCAGTGATCATGTCAAATTCCAAACGTGTGCCAGTAAGCGACATATCAAAAAAAAATACCGATTACAGTTTACAAATTAATAGATGGTTCCTCAAGCTAATCGGTGCGTGGCCACAAATAAATAAGCCGAGTTCAGTGCACAAAATCATGATACTACTACAAATTTTCATTTGTTCAAGCATAATAGCAGTCCCAACAATACCGTGTTTGTTACATGTGTTATTTGAGGCAGACAATATCAAGCAAAAGCTGAATGCCTTAGGACCGCTACTTCATAGAGCTATGGGCTCGGTACATTATTGGGTGCTGCTCAAGCGTAACCGTGACATTCATAAATTAATACGACATATGGAGGTAGATTGGAGTCTCATACAAAAGATTGACGAACGTGAAGTGATGCTGCAACATGCCAAGTTCGGTCGTTTCGTCGTCATAATCTGTGCGGTGTTTATGCAGGGCGGTTTATTTCTGTATAGTTTAGGGAAATCGATGAAAACTATAACCATCATCGTTGGCAACGAGACTTTCAAGACGCATCCAACGAATTGTCCGATTTATAGCAAGATTATCGATACGAGATTTAGCCCTGTGAATGAAATCACATTAGTTTTGCAGAACCTAACAATGTTCGTATCAAGTTTTTCTACCGTTAGTGTTTGCAGTTTGGCTGCTGTCTTCGCGGTACATGCTTGTGGTCAGTTGACCGTCTTGAATACGTGGCTACATAAACTTGTCGAAAATCAAAAGAGAAATGATACAAATCAAAAATTGGCCGCAATCGTAGAACATCATCTAAGAACATTGAGGTATTTTATACACAAACACTATTAAAAAATATACAAAGCTTATATCTCAGATTTTTCAAATCTTTTACAATAATTTTATCGTTAATTAATAATTTAAAATAAATATTTTCGTTAAAATAAAAATAAATTCATTTCCTTTTTCTAAATCACTAAAAGAGAATCTTGTCATTGTCTTCATGAAAAACATCAATTCAATATATACATAACTTATTTACGAAAAATAAAAGTTCTGTTTATACATTTATACGTTCCAGTTTTATATCACGTGTGGAAAATATTATGCACAAAGCTTCTCTTGCAGAATTAATGGGATGCACAATAACATTGTGCTTAATTGGATATTACACTATTATGGTAGGCTAACGATCGTAAAAATTTGAAAATCTTATAATACGCGCCTAAACGTCATTTATTTATGAAACACAAAAGACAATAGGTGCATTCAGAAGCGACGATCGCTCATTGAGCGCTCACTGAGCAAAAAAGGGATTCATCTATTATTAATATGTTTATTTATTATAATTCGTAACGTAGAATAACTTTGTCTATAGATAATCTTTAATATCATATTTCTTACTTATTTTTATTACTGTTTATTATTTCTCTAATGTCGTGTTTAGGCCGTTATGTAGCGCTCAGTAATTTTAAATCGCTCACTGAGAGTTACATAATTTTACGGCTTAAACACGACATTAGAGAAATAATAAACAGTAATAAATAAGTAAGAAATATGACATTAAAGATTATCTATAGTAGACAAAGTTATTCTATGTTACGAATTATAACAAATTAACATATTAATAATAGATTAATCCCTTTTTTGTTTAATGAGCGCTCGGTGAGCGGTCATCGCTTCTGGATGCACCCATTGCTATTCTATTATAAGATATGCACCGAAAACTAGGTAAATACGACAAAAATAAGATTATATTTTAATTTTTAGGCTTGGGAAACGTTCGATACCGCAAAAATAACATCCTACGTCTTTATGTATTTATCAATGGGTTTTAATATTTTTATATTTTGCTACATCGGAGAGATTATCACAGAACAGGTCAAGAATATAAAGATATTGAGACCAAGAAATGTCAAATTTTAATATTTTTTTATAATTCAGTCAATGGTGTGCACAATATAATACAAATATTGAAAATTCTTTTGCTAAAGTAGGACTATTCCCCTAGAACTAAATATGTAATCCTATCAGTGCGAAGAATACTACCGCATTGCAATAAACAAACGCGGTCATTGGTTTTGACCTTTGTTATTTCAATGGATTCATATTTAAAACGTCATTCATATTTAAAATAAGGATATTATAATGAAGAATCATTGAGCAGGCTCACTAAGCTGCTTTATCTGCTGGACGCAGCTAATAGAAATGCGTGAAATATAATGCCCTTGTATTAATGGAAAGGAAAAAATTCTAAAATATAATTAAGGGAAAGAAAAGTAAAATAATAAAGTGGATAAGATGACGAATTGTTAGACTATAAGCTAATAACAGATAATGGGCCGATATTGAATTCATTAAAAGCTTTAAATAATTAACAAATCATCCCTTGTAATTTGACAATACTTCCATGAAAAACAAAATAAAATAATAAGAAATATATTTATTTAGAATGCACTCATATGTAATTTTTATCGTTATAGTTTATAAGTAATAAAATAGGTAATTATAGTAGATATTTTCACATTCTTTATAAAATCGCAGTATAATATACTGTAGCCAAGAATGTATAATATGGAATAATATATTAATTTTTCATTATTCCCCTTGCAATATTTTTATTTATAAACACTGTGACTGGGGAAACAAGATAACTTTCACTAGTGAGAAAGATTGTGAAATTTACACGTTTTTAAAAAATAAATTTTCAAAAATTCTAATTTATTAAATAGTTCATTTTACACATGATAACGCTTTAATATGAGAAAAAAAAATATTCTTTTTAAATCATCATAGAAATAAAGAGAAATAAATAAATCTTAAGGTCATCATCTTACTCCTCTTTTCCCCTACTTAGTTTTTAATGAAATTAAATATTTCTCCTTAACATATTGCTAATTCACACTGTTAATTTCTTCTCATAGAAAATTAAAATCTTCTGTTAATTTGTTAGTGCAAACGTGTTGGGGAAATGGCATATATGACTGACTGGTATAATCTACATCACAAAACTGCACGTGGTCTCATTCTGATTATTGCCCGATCGAATAACGTAATTAAGATAACAGCGGGAAAATTATTCCATTTATCCATCGCAACTTTTGGTGATGTAAGTAATGCACGTATACCGTTGCTTTTGTTAATAAATTATACATTTCTTGTACATTATTTCGAACTATAATGATCATCTTACAAGAATTGCACTGTTTAATTAAACTATACATTATGTTAAAAATGTTCACACATTCTGTTATATGCGTATATATAAATTTAATGTCAAATTTTAATAAATTTATAAATCTGTAACTTTTATAATGTAATATATGTATATTATGTTTGCTTTCTATAAAAGTATATTGTTATTCCAGGTAATTAAAACTTCCATGGTATATTTAAATTTTTTGCGAACAATGACTATGTAAAAAAGGTGACGTGAAATGTAAGTTACGAAAAATACATTTTATATATTTTATATTGAACAAATTATTATAAACTGAAAAAAAAATTAATATTTCATTACATAAATTTAAAATTTGGAATCAGTGATTTTGAAGACATTAATACAAAGAGTTTCAGGAAACGTTTACGATCATTTTCCTATCACTACGAAATTCTTATTAAAAAATTTCAATTTTAGCTGGGTTTATACTTACAAGTTGTTCTATTGATAAAATAATTACATATATTATATAGTAAAATAAAACTACATATTTATGTAATTCGTATACATACAAGTCTTAGGAATAAAACGATATCAAATATATTACACAATCAATTATTAAATGCTTAAAATATAGAAAATGTATAACAATATAGGCATCCTATGTTCTATATGAGACATGCAATAAAGGTTAATAAATAAAATTTATGATTCGTCAAAATCGACATAATGTGTCATTAATATATAGTAAAAAAATATATATTATAAAATATCTTATGATTCTTTTCATGCTTATGGTAATTTTTCCATTTAAGAAGCACTAATTTTGTATAAGAAACAAAATCAGTCAAATAACAAATAATAGAAGATATGAAAGCTTAATTTTAATATACATCAAAATCATATATTTACCTTCCTAACAGTAAAAGAAGTAAGATTGCATATAACCGAATAAAGAAAAACATAACAAGTAATTAAAGCACGTTTATTTCTACGAATTTATTCTCTTCCTGACACGCGATATTCTCTTTCCATATCTGGTATTATAAATTCGCGACAAACAACTATTGATCGGACATATAACCCTTTCGAAGCAGTTGTAATATTAGGCTATTTATTCAATTTTTTCGAGGGTTTAAAAACTTCCTTGGCAAAAAAAAATTTTTACGAAAGAGTATACAAAAACTACATAGATTAAAATAAGATCTTAAAAATTCTTAATTTTTCATCGATATTTGTAATGAGATACAGAGTGAGATTTGTATGTTTTAGAAATTCTTAGTTTTTTGTAGATATTCTTAGAAGCGCTGTTTGAAGACGAAGAATTTTTTGGTTTATCAAATTAAATAACACTACTCTACGTCCCACTATAAATATCTACGAAAAACTAAGAATTTTTGAGATATTATTTTAATTTATGTAGTTTTTCGTAACTTTCCACCAGGGTTATTAATATATTTTAGAACATTTTGTTATATAGTTATGCTTCAATAACATATAAAATATTTTTATTAATTATAATAATTTTCATATTTCAAGATAATCTAATTCTTATTGCCATTGATAAACAATAAAATTCTAAAAATTTATTCGGTTAATAAATATAAGAAATACGTTATTAAAATACATTATCAAATAAAAAATCTATTAAAGCACTTTCAATGTCACTTCTACGAATTAATCCTTACACTCCCCATAACACGCAATATCCTCTCAAACTTTGGAGAATAGAAGCTCTGGACGAACAATTATATCGATTGAATATACGTCCCTTCCAGAGTAACTTTATAACGTTAGACTGATTCACCAAACTCTTCTGAAGATTGGCGCAGGCGCTTCTTCATATTCTGGCACAATGAGTTGTCTATTCGTGGCAGTATAAGCAGTACACCGTGTGCCTTCGTGCAGTGATCATGTCAAATTTCAAACGTGCGCCAGAAAGCGACATACCAAAAAAACATATCGATTACAGTTTACAAATTAATCGATGGTTTCTGAAACTAATCGGTGCGTGGCCACAAATAAATGCGCCAAGTTCAGTGTACAAAATCATGATATTACTACAAATTTTTGTTTGTTCAAGCGTGATAGCAGTCACAACGATACCGTGCTTGTTATATGTGTTATTTGAGGCAGATAATATCAAGCAAAAACTGAACGCCGTGGCACCACTGCTTCACAGAGCTATGGGCTCGATACATTACTGGGTGCTGCTCAAGCGTAGTCATGACATTGACAAGTTAATACGACATATGGAAGCAGATTGGAATCTCATACAAAGGATTGACGAACGTGAAGTGATGCTGGAACATGCCAAGTTTGGCCGCTACATTGTCATAATCTGTGCGGTGTTTATGCAGGGCGGTTTGTTTCTGTTTAGCTTAGGGAGATCGATGAAAACTACAACCATCATCATTGGCAACGAGACTTTTAAGACGCATCCAACAAGTTGTCCGATTTACAGCAAGATCATCGATACGAGATTTAGCCCTGTGAATGAAATCGCATTAATTCTGCAAAACGTAACAATGTTTGTAGCGAGTTTCTCTACTGTTGGCGCTTGCAGTTTGGCTGCTGTCTTCGCAAAACATGCTTGTGGTCAACTGAATGTGCTGTATGCGTGGCTACATGAACTTGTTGAAAATCAGAAGAGAAATGATACAAATCAAAAATTGGCTGCAATCGTAGAACATCATTTAAGAACACTGAGGTATTTTATGCACAAACACTGTTAAAAAATATCAATTAATTTCTTGTTTGGATATGGGCAAACAAATCCTTGGTTGATTCAACTAAATGGGTTTCTCAGTTTACAAAGCTTATATGTCAGAATTTTCAAATCTTATAACAATTTAATCGTTAATTAATCATGTGAAATAATTATTTTTGTTAAAATAAAAATTAATTAATTTTCTTTTTCTAAATCACTAAAAGAGATCTTGTCATTGTCTTCATGAAAAGTATCAATTCAATATATATATAACTTATTTACGAAAAATAAAAGTTTTATTGCATTATACATTTCAGTTTTATATCACGTGTGGAAAGTATTATGCACAAAGCTTCTCTTGCAGAATTAATGGGATGCACGATAATCTTGTGTTTAATGGGATATTATACTATTATGGTAGGGTAACTATCATAAAAATGTGAAAATCTTATAAAATACAGTTAAATGTCATTCATTTATGAAACGCAAATATATTGCTATTCTATTACAAGATGTGTACTGAAAATCGTATAAAATACGATAAAAATAAGATTATTTTAACTTTTAGGCTTGGGAAACGTTCGATACCGCCAAAATAACATCTTACGTCGTTATATATTTATCGATGGGTTTCAATATTTTTATATTTTGCTACATCGGAGAGATTATTACAGAACAGGTCGAGAATAGAAAGATATTGAAATCGAGAAATATCAGATTTTAATATTTTTTGGTAATTCAGTCAATGACCGCATACAGTACAATATTTTAATGCAGGTGGAAGTTTTTTTTGCTGAAGTAAGACTACTCCCCTAGATCTAAAAATATAATCCTATCAGCGCGAAGAAAACTACCAAAATGCAAAATAAACAAATGCGGTTTATGCCTTTAATATTTTTATGGATTTATATTTAAAACATATTAGAGTAAGGATTTATAAAATAATGAATAATTACTGAGCGCTTACTGATCTGTTTTGTCTGCTGAACGCAGCCAATAGAAAAGCGTATAATAAAATATATTTACAGAAAAAATAATACAATTAATTAGGGGAAAGCAGGATAAGATGACGAAGTGGAAAAGATAACCAGTTTTTAATATTAGTTACATTACAAGTTAATAACAGTTAACGAGCCGGTATTGAATTCTCTCATTAAAAACTTTGAATAATAATAAAACATCTCTTATATCTCGTCTCTTGTATTGTTTGATTTCAATACTTCCAGAAAAGAAGATAATATAATAAGAAATATTTAGGATGCACTCATATGTGGTTCATTGCTGTTAGTTTATAAATAATGAAATAATTGCAACAAATATTTTTACTTTTATTATAAAACCACAGTATAGTATAATAGTATAGATAAGAATGTATAGAATATCATAACAATATTCTTTATTATTTACCTTGCAATATTTTTATTAAATGAATACAATGATTGCAAGCAACATTTTTATTAAATAGCACACAATGATTGCAAGCAAGATGACTTTCAGTAGTGAGCAAGATTATAAAATTGACATTCTTAAAACATGAATTTTCCAAAAATCTAATTACTTATTTAACATATTTATTTAACATATAGTTTATTTTACATATGATATCTAAGCCTTTAGTAAATCTGAAAAAAAAACCATTCTTTTTATGTCATCATAGAAATAAAGAAGGATCAATAAGCCTTAAGATATTCTTACCCCTACTTTCCCCTACCTAATTTTTAATGTGAAACCAAATATTTCTCTTTAACATTATACTAATTTACACCGTCAAATTCTTTTCATAGAAAATGTAAATCTTCTGTCAATTTGTTAGTGCAAACGTGTTGGGGAAATGGCATATATGAGTGACTGGTATAATCTACACCACAAAACTGCACGGGGTCTCATTTTGATTATTGCTCGATCGAATAACGTAATTAAAATTACAGCGGGAAAGTTATTCCATTTATCCATCGCAACTTTTGGTGATGTAAGTAATGCACATATACTGTTACTTCCTTTGATTAATAAAAAATATCTTTCTTTTTGGTTAATAAATTATATATTTCTTGTAACGCTTTTTAGGCTTTCACAGATATTATTTTCAAAGATATCAGAAGGTTTGCGGATTATCGCCGTATTTTTATCCATTGCTAATACCAATAATAGATAAAAACATAAAAATAATCTACAAAAGCTTTTGAAATCTTTGATACTTTCCTTGTACTTTATTTCAAACTATGATCATTTTACAACAATTATACTGTCCAATTAAACTTTATGTTTAAAAAACTCATATATTCTATTATACGCATGTATTTAAATTCAATGTTAAATTTTAATAAATTTATAAACTTGTAACTTTTAAAATGTAATGTATATTATTTTTGCTTTCTGCGGAAACAAGTAGATATATTGTTATTCCAGGTAATTAAAACTTCCATGGTCTATTTAAATTTTTTGCGAACAATGACTATGTAAAAAGTGGTTACGTGAAATGTAAGTTAAGAAATATATACATTATATATTTTATATAGAACAAATTATTAAAATTATGTAACCTGAAAAAAATA